TATCATTGCTGATGTCAGATGGATCTTAACTGAGAGCAAAGAATACCAGAAAGATGTTTACTTGTATTTTATTGACTATACAAAAGCATTTGACTGTGTAGATCATAACAGATTATGTATAACATTGCAAAGAATGGGAATTCCAAAACACTTAATTGTGCTCATGAGGAACCTGTACATAGACCAGGAGGCTGTCATTCAAACAGGACAGGGGAATGCTGCATGGTTTAAAATTAGGAAGGTAGTGAGTCAGGGTTGAATCCTCTCCTCATACTTATTCAATCTATATGCTGAGCAAATAATCCGAGAAGCTGGACTATATGAAGAAGAATGCGGCATCAGGATTGGAGGAAGAGTCATTAGCAGCCTGTGATAAGCAGATGACACAACTTTGCTTGCTGAAAGTGAAGATGACTTGCAGCACTTACTGATGAAGACCAAAGACTACAGTCTGCAGTATGGATGACATCTCAACAGGAAGAAAACAAAGGTCCTCACAACTGGACTAATAAGCAGCATCACCATAAATGCAGAAAAGATTGACATTGTCAAAGACTTCATGATACTTGGTTCCACAATCAACACCAATAGAAGCAACAGTCAAGAAATCAGATGACGTATTGCACTAGGCAAATCCACTGCAAATGACCTCTTAAAAGTGCTGAAAAGCCAAGATGTCTCTTTGAAAACTAAGATGCACCTAACCCAAGCCATGGTATTTTCAGTCGCCTCCTATGCACATGAGAGCTGGACAATGAATAAAGGAGACTGAAGAAGAGTCGTTGGGTTTGAGTTGTGTTGGCGAAGAGTGCTGAAAGGACTACCAGAAGAACGAACACATCTGTCCTGGGGGAAGTGCAGCTGGAATTCTCCCTGGAGGCGAGAACGGCCAGACTTCGTCTCACCTACTTTGGTCATGTTGTCAGAAGGGACCATTCCCTGGACAAGGATGTCATGCTTGGTAAGGTGGAGGGTTGGCAAAAGAGGGGAAGGCCCTCAACGAGATGGATTGACACGGTGGCTGCAACGGTGGGCTCAGGCAGAGCAAGGATCGTGGGGCTGGTGCAGGACCGGGCAGGGTTTCGTTCTGTTTCACGTGGGGTCGCTGTGAGTCGGAGCTGACTCAGTGGCACCTGACAACATCAGTCTTTATGGAGCATATCCCTGGGTGTTTCTCCTGGGAAGCCACAGGGTGAGTTCGAACCACTGTCCTTTCAGTTTGTAGCCATGTCCCTCACCGTGGCACCAGCAGGACTCCGTGTGCTCAGGACAGCACCTGGTACACAGGACGTGCTTATAGCACCTGCTGGGAGTTGGAGAGAGCCCACAGTCATGCCCACCCTTCTTCCCCCATTTAGGGAAGGTCCATTTCACCCCCTTGAGACTCAGAGGGTGCCCATCCATGCCCAGTTCCCTTAGGGGTACCCCACCCAGTGTAAACCAGCGCCTCCCAGCCCTCACTGTTGATCAGAATCTCCCCCCACACATTCAGATAGGCCAGACCCGTCCCAGAGGGTCTCATTAAATGGAGTCTGAGGTGGGGTTATGTATCCACATTAAAAAAAAAAAAAAACCCACCCGATGGGCAGTGAGAACTGAGACCCACTGACCAGAGTCACCCTGTGCCTCGTGCCGGGGACTGATTGAGGAGTGGGCAGGTGACTAGGTGCTGCCAATGAGGTGAGGTCAGTTGGGGGATTCTGGCTGGTGAGATGGAGACTTCCGGAGGCAGTGCCTGGAACTGTGGCAGCCATCTTGTGACTATGAGGTAAGCAAGCTGATATGCAAAGGCGACATACTCTGGAGTAAAAGCCAGAAATTCAAAGAATTAAAAAAAAAAAATCTGGGTCCTCAAATGACATCATGGAGCTGCTGACTGGACCAAAGCCAGGCTTCTTGGCCGACAGAGCTTTCCTATCTATGGCCGTATCGAGTCCCGTTTTGTGGTGTTGGCGTTAGGCTGCCATCTAGTGTTTCTGACTCACAGGGACTCCGTGTGACAGAACGGAACTGCCCCATAGGCTTTCCTAGCCCGTGACCTTTACGGGAGCAGGTCACCAGGTCTGTTGTGCACAGAGCGGACAAGTGGTTTTGAACCATCAACCTTTCCGTTGGCAGCTCAGTGCTTCACCACTGTGCCACCAGAGCTCCTTAGTTTTCTGTTCTTACTGTGAGGCTGTTAGGTGCTGCCCAGTCAGTTCTGGCTTCCGGTGACCCCGTGTCCGACAGGATGACGCGCCGCCCGGGCCTGTGTTAGCCTCACAGCCCCTGCTGGGTTTCAGCCCCATGTCGCAGCCACTGTGTCGGTCCATTTCGTTGACAGACCCTCTGCTGTCAAGCGTGATGTCCTTCTCCAAGGATTGGAACCTCCTGGTCACATGACCAAAGTACGTGAGATGAAGTCTTGCCAACCTCATTTCTAAGGAGCATTCTGGCTGTACTTCTGCTCTGACGGATTTGTTCGTTCTTCTGGCCGAAGGCGTCCTTACTGAGACATTACTCAGTAAATATTGAATGAGTGGGTGGGCGGATGGATGGATGGATGATGGATGGACAGATGGAGGAGTGAGCTGTACTAGAACAGAGAGTGCGAGAAGGGAGCCGTAGAATTTGAAGCTAGAGCTGTAAGCGTGACTCGCACCATACACGGCCTCGGATGCCAGACTGAAGGGCTGGGACTCCATCCTGGGGTGAGGAGGAGCCATGGGACGAGTGGGTGAGCTCTGAGTGTCACAAAGACCGCTCTGGGACCCTGAGACCGGGGAGCCGTGAGCTGAAGGCCTCAGAGAAGAGGCTAAGACTTGAACCAGGGCTGTCAGGGCAGAGAGGATGGGACAGGGCAGAGAGAGTCAAGAGGGCAGAAAGGTGGGGTTGGGGACCTATGGACTGTGAACGGGGAGCGGTGAGGAGGGAACGCTGGGGTGTGAACAGGTTGGCAGCAGGGACATGTCAAGGTGCGGACCAGGGAAGAGGAGCGTCTTTAGGGAAGATGCTGAATTCCTCATAGGAGACAAGGAAAATCTGAGGAAGCAGGAGGGTCTGTCTAGGGGGATAATGGCCTCAGAAGAGTTGTTAGAGCCCCCAGAGGCTCATGGGAAATGTAGTTCTAGGTCCTGAACCTTGGCCAGTGGACTGCAGAGCCTCATGGGAAATGTAGTTTGCCATCTAAGGGTCACACTGCCCAGAACCTGGTTGATGGGAGTGTCTAGGATGACCCTCTGTGGAGGACCAGTGACTGACTCACTTAAGGCTGCAACGTGAGGCAGGGTTACCATGTGATCCGTGGATAACAGAAATGCACACACACACACACTCACTCACACACTCGCACACTCGGTACCTGTCTCCCGATGCATGCTGGGATTCCGCACGGTGGAGGAACACAGGGCCTCCGCCTCTGGCTGCATCCTGGCAAGGTGGGTGGGGGATGTCTCAGGGGCCTGGAGACTAGAGCTCTGACTGGGCCACCCACCCCGGCTCCTCCTCCCCGACGAGGCCTCCTCCTTCACGTCGGACAATGATGTGGCCGAACCAGACGGCTGAGACCACACGGGGGCACTGGTTTCCCTAACCTCACCGACTCCTTGTGCGTCCCAATCCCTTCTTGCACGTTTTCCCATCTCTCCCCGCACCAGGCCCCATCTCAGGGGCTGTCTGACCCCACCTCTTTCTCCCCACCTCCCTTCCTCCCTCTCTCCGCAGCTGGCCGCCTGCCTCTCTGCCTGTCCCGCGTCCTCTCCGCATCTCTCTCGCCCCACTTCCCCTCCTCTCTCTCGCCAGCTCTCCCCCACTCTGGCCCGTGAGTTCTCGGTCCACTTCCTCCCCTCCTGGCCCCGCTGCGTCATCGCAGTCGGCCTGTCACTTTCCCCACATCCCAGATCTCCGCTCCCTCCCTCTCTTCATATTTCTGTGCCTCTCTCTAACCCCATCGCCTGCTCAGTCTCCCTACAGCTCTCGCCTTCTCTCTCCAGTCTCCTTTCCTCCCCGACCCCGGCACCTCTCATACCTGCCTCTTCCACCCCCTCGATCCCCCCGTCTCCCCTGTCATCCCCTTTCTGTCCTCACTTGCCCTCCGCTCATCCCTGTCTCACCCAGGAACTGGTTAGAAACAGGCGAGATTCAAACAGAAACTGGGTTCTATGTGGGGGAGGGGGAGGTGGGCAGGAGGCCTGGTTGCCATGGCACCCCCAGAGGCATGGGGGAGGGGCTGGGAGCCTGGACTTCTGAGTCTGAGGCTGGAGGGGGCTGGGGGGGCCTGGACTCCTGGGTCTGAGAGAGAAGGGGACTGGGGCCCTGACTCACAGGTCTGAGGAAGGAAGGGTCCAAAGACCCAAACTCCTAGGTCTGAGGGAGGAGGGGGCCAGGAGCCTGGATTCCAGATCTGAGGGAGGAGGGGCTGGGGGTCCAGACTCCTGGGTATGAGAATGTCTGCCCCATGCTTCAAATATGCTCAAGAATGTCTTCCAGAAGTTCAAACGCCCCCTCCTCCAGGAAGTCCTCCCTGACTTCTCCACGATGGATTTTTTTCTCTCCCTTCCTAGCATATTCTTGGTTTGCTCCTTCCCTCTGAGCACAGTGCACTTTCCCTGTCAGCCTTGCCCAGGGCTGTGTGACTGTGTCTGCCTCCCCCACCAATCTGGAACATTCCTGGGCTCAGCCTAGTCTCACTTCTCTCTGACTCTCCAGCCTTGCGCTGCACGGCCAGGGCCCTGGGAAGCTCAGGCTGTGATTGCTGAATGAATAAACAAGTGACCATTCACTTCCTTCTGTTCTGTGACAACACACCAGGCAGCTCCCAGTCCCGTCTGCCCCGGCCTCGGGCCCTCACGAAGCAACACAGGATGAAGAAGAGAACGTGGACTCTGGAGGCAACAGCAGCATCGAATGCCGACACCACCACGGCCAGGCTGTGGGCACCCGCCTCTCCCTCTCTGAGCCAGTAATGCTACCTACCGCCAATAGACACTGCCCAGGGCTGTTGGGGTTAAATGAAGCCAGGTGCAGATAAGCTCTGGGGGCAGGCACGGGGAGGCATTTCGGGGGAACGCTGGTCCCCTTCCCGTCCCTCCATCTCAGCATCTGGCTTTAGCTCTCTCTGGACCACTCTCTTTCTTCCCTCTTAGGGGAGCTTCTCAATTTCTCCACACCTCTCTGTTCCCCCTTCTGAAGTCTGACTCTGTCTCCATCTGTGTCTCTCTCTCTCTCTCTCTCTGTTGACCTTGCTTCCTTTCTCTCTACCAGTCTGTCTCCGGAACCCTCTGTGTCTCTATATTAATGTGAGTTTCTGTGTCACAGTGTCTCTGTCCTTCTCTGTGTGTGTCTCAGTCTCTGTGTCTCTACCTTTGCATGTCTGTCTCCATCTCTCTCCCTCTCTTTCTCTCTGTTTCTCTCTCACTGTTTCCCATCTCGGTCTCCATGTCTCTGTCTCCATCTCTCTCCCTCTGTGTCTCCCTTTCCCTCTGTATGTATCATTGGCTGTCTCTCTGTGTCTCTCATCCCTGTTTCCATTGTCTCTCTCTGTCTCTCTCTGTGTCTCTGCCTCATTCCCCTCCTGCCTCCCCTGTCACTCACCTCATCTCTCTCAGGCCATCACTGTCCCCCTCCTTGGCCGGGCGCTCAGCCAGCTGGGAACACAGATCCCAGAATCAGCATTTTCCTCAATTTTGGGAAGGATGTCATCACCGTAGTGGCGGTGGGGCTGGTGGAGGCCTTGGTCAGAGGGTTTGCCTCTCTGCCGGCCCCTCCCTGGCCAGCTTGGCCTACTCACCTCAGTGTTTGCTGCCTCCAGGGTAAGCGCCAGGAGAAGAGGTGAGTCTGTTTCCACACACGTGTGCATTTCTTTACATGTTTCTGAATCTATTCCAAGGGACCTTCCTGTGTGAATCTGTAGGGATTTGTGCAAACTCACTCATCCACCCACCCAGTCCTTCACCAATCCCTCAAATATACATCTATTCAACTCTCCACCCACCCATGTTAAGTATCAATCCATTCCTCAATTTATTCATCGATCCACCCATCCACTCATCCATCCATCCACCCACCCACCCACCCATCCATCTACTCATCTGTCCATCCATTCATCCATCCCTCCACCCACTCATCCATCCATCCATC